AAGCATTTCCTAGTGAACATGGACAAAGAGACGGTGGCATCTTAGAAAGCGAAGATTATGCAAGATCACATAATCCGGAAAGTGATCGATCATAAGCGCAGTCCATTCTTGCGCACTAGCGGAATATCCATTGTCGACCTTTTGGAATGGAGGGACTATGATGTTGTACGGTATCAAGCATCTGACAGAATAATGGCATTTCAACAAATTGTTTCATGAAATTTCAAAAAAGTAAAAAAAAAACGACCATCATAATCTGTCTATGATCTATGAAAATCTATGAAAAGTGAGTCTACTACTGTAATCTTTGTCACCTAATCTTACGGACCACGTCTTCTCGCCTGCGTGAAAGGAAATAGTTATTAGAAAAATGGTACTACGTCGTAGAGCGCTCACTCATTCTGCTTGCGGACAGGGCCATAACAAGGATCCCGTAAGAATGGTCGTGCATGCAGCGTACACTTCTGATATCAGCCCTATATCTTACAACTTTCACATCTTTCAATTGCTATATAGTACCTTGCCGCTTATCGTTCGAAACGAGTCAAGATAGGTAGTGCGCACATAGATCTCTGTTTTTTTGGAAGGAAGAGATTTCAATAGATGTTGGCCAAAGGGAGCTGCTCACATTGGATACCCAACTGACTCTTGATGTGATGGTTTTTAATTATCAATGCAAGGATGTCGAATCTGAGAGACGCTTAAACGATATTTTTCACTCACCTATAGTAGTTATAACAGTGAAGGCAAAAATCAAGGCGTTTCCAAAAGACCATTTCTCCAATTCTGCTGCTATTTCGTCTTCAATCGTTGGCGCTGAACTTATATCTCTTCAAGCATGTTTGGTCATTTAAAATTACTAATTGGACAAAGGTTTGTTTGGATGTCTTATGTCAAATTTAAACACGCATATTTTAGCTTGAAACAAGTTGTTTGGTTGAGCTGAGGACTGTGAGACATAATGCCTTCTTGGCCTTATGCTTTGATCGCTGCTCTTACTGCATGCCGCACGTGTAACTTTGCTTGTGTACTTGTACCTCTTTTTTACACGATTTCAAAGGAGTAAACATGGCAGTCTAATATCATGTCTTGTTCAAAGACCATTCCCTGTGCAAGCATTGCTCCGAAATAGTGATAATAACTTGACCAGATATTCATCGAGTATGTGAGAGAATTCAAAGGTTGGCATCCCAGCACAATTGACT